AGTTTAGTATGTGACAGTTTAGTATGTGACAGTTTAGTATGTGACAGTTTAGTATGTGACAGTTTAGTATGTGACAGTTTAGTATGTGACAGTTTAGTATGTGATAGTTTAGTATGTGATAGTTTAGAGTGTATGGCTGTCAAGTCCTTCTAAATCTTTAAGGAGGACATGTCATCAAAATTAGACATTGTTTTAGGTACTTTAAGCTCAGGGTCCTTTAAATGTTAAAGTATTTCCTGCTCAAATTTGTGTGTCAGTGGATTAATCCAAATTGTAGACAGGAAAATAAGTTCTTTTTAGTATCTTAAACTTGGAAATTTGACTTTTATGTTATTAACCAGTAGATAAAATTGAGTTAAATAGCATAATTTGTGGCAATAATAACTGGCTTCAGCTTTTATATAGAACACTCATTAAGTTTTCATATAACTCATGAAGTAATAATTGAGTGTGAGACACTGTGCCTACTGCAGTCTGTGGACCCTTTTATTACATCCTCACAGCATGTCTATGCAACCTTGAAGGGGAAAGAATGATCCCAGGAGCACTTCACAGGTGGCGAGGTCAGCCTTGTACCCTGACCCTGTCTGCCTCCAGAGCTCAGGGTCTCAACATCACAGTTGTCATTGGCCTTTCAGCCCTTACTATTGCTAGCAGTGAGAGAGGGAGAGGGTCAGGGGAAGGAAGAGAGGAAGGCAATGGAGAGGGAGAGAGAGAGAGTTAGTTTATGGGTTGCCAGGGAAGAAGTATATTTTGAAATAGACTAGATTTAAATTATACTCCTGACATTTATACTACATGAAGTCAAGTCAGTCTGTGTTATACCAGTTTTCTCATTTGTAAGGTAGAGAGAAAATACAAGAAACCTGACCTTGTTTATTCAGGTCTACAGCGATAGTTTTTCAGTTCTTAAAGTGAAACCACTTGTTGGCCTGTTTTTCTGTACAGTTTTGAATAATGTGTTACTTCCTTTGTGACAGTTTTGGGCAGTGTCCATGTAATCTGTCATTGACTCTGTGAACCTTTAAGGCTGTATTTTATAGCACAGTCAACATAAAAGAGGACAAACTCTTTGATTTCTGAAAATTAAACTTAAATGTACATTACAGATATTCTCCACATTTGAATGATTATATTTCATAGGTAATTATTTTATCCAAAAATATTTCTAGTTTCTACTCTTCCTTCCAAATCCTTATCTGATCTGATTCAGAGTCTCCTATTTGCTCTGTAAGAACTCTTTATATAGCTATACTTACTTTGTACCTGTTACACACCAGGCCCTTTGCTACATAGTCATTAATCTCCACAACGTGACACGGTAGCTTTTCTTGTCTCCATTTCACAAATAAGAAAATGACTCCAGTCAGCTTGCCCGATATGGAGCAGTCAATAAAGCAAGAGATGGGCCAGCAAAATGACTAGACAGGTAAGGTGTTTACCACCAAGCCAGACAACCTAAGTTTGATCCTCAGGAGCATATGGTAGAGGAAGAGAACAGATTCTCACAAGCTGTCCTCTGCCGTCCACACATGTACAATGGCATTCATGCACACAGATGGAGAGGGAATAAAAAAAAAAAACAAATGTGAATATATAATAATTATTATATTATTATAAAGGAAGAGTCCAGAAGTCCCTAACCTATTCTTTCTAATGTGTTTGCATTGTCTTTTAATTCATATAATTGAAGATGCTTTCAAAGTTACAATATTTTAAAGACTTTATTAGCCAAATACTTTAGGAAGTTTTAAGGTGGTCATGCTTACCAACAGACAGTATAGACCAAACCAAAATAAATTTTAAAACCATTTATATTCCCTTTTAAAATGTCTGTGGAGCCCCCAAAGTCCTATCCATGGTATCACTTATGATGGTTTATTGACTGCATGAACATAGGAGCCATGGGTACTTTCTTACACTACCCTGGAAGATACAGTAGACACAGGAATAACTCAGTCCTATCTTCATGACTCACGTGGTGTAAATCAATAATTAGGAAGAATAGGTTGTGGCAGGAAATGGCAAGTGTGACTGTTTTCTTTCCAAATCCAAGCTGAGGCCTGCCTCGTCTGCGCTGCTGTAGAGTGGCTGTGCTGAGTGTCCTCCACATATGTCGTCTGCAGAGGCGTTAGCGTGAGACCTACACCAGCCCTGCCTGCCTCAATTGATTTTTAATTGTGCAAAAGGAAATTTAATCATTTTTAATGTGGCTATAGCTACCTCATTATACAGTTCCTTTCTCGAGTTCTTATGACCGAATTGGGAGGCAATAAAGAAGACATGGGAGAATTGCTGATTTTGAAGAAAGCCGATTCTAAATAGGGAAATGGGGTATGCACCCTGATTCCCAGAGACGGGCTTTCTTTACAGCCATTAAAAAGTCATGGGAAACCAGTAATTCTCATTGTCAGGCTGCCTTCAAGAGTTTGAGAGTTTCAACCAACAAAAACAATTGATGGAAAAATTTTGGTTTTCTCCAGAGTCTTCATTCTAGCACTGGGTTTGAGGATAAAGAAATACTCTCCTGGGAGGCTTGACAGCAGGTTCTTGTCAGTAAACTGCTGTGGTGATGTAAATGTCACGTGTCTGCTCTATCCAAGATGACAGCAGCTAACCAGGCGTGACTCAGTGCTTGAATATGGCTAGCATAGCAAGGAATTTCAATTTCCAGTTTTAATTACATGAAATCTGAACTATTACCTCATACATAGTTGTAGCTATTACCTCATTACACTGTCTCTCTGAGATCCAGTGACTGAATTGTAAGACAATCAGTGCACACGTTAGACAGTAGTTTCTCGGCTCTCTCACAGACTTTTTCCTATTCTCTTTTCCTGTTTGAACTTGTTTTGTTAGTTGGTAAGTATGGCATCTGAACAAGCGGAGCACTGGCCATTGTGGAACGTCACCACCCGAACTCATTGCATGCCTGTTGTGTTCATAATACCACCCTGATTGCTCTCCGTTACTCGGGTAACGCCTGTAGCACCGCAGTCTCCCTCACGCCTGTCAGTCTATCTTCTCTTTTGTTCTCCATTCTGCCTGCTACTACGTTTCTTCCTTCACAGCAGAAAGGCATGTACTGCTAGTTCTGGCCCTCCCAACCCCACCAGAGACACTGGCCTTCGGGAACAGCACTGGGAGGGAAGACCTCTCCTCACAGCAGACCTGCGTGGCACCGGGAAGCTCAGCTCCTGCTCCTCGCTGTCTTTCCCACTCTGGTGCCAGGCTTCCCTAAGGGGGCTGTGGGTGCACATTCTCTGAGTATTCTAATCTGCGTCTACTGTGAGCCAGCTCAGATCATCGGGAAGAGAAATTTTGAAGAAGAAGAAAAAAACCTTCCTGCTTTATAGGCCAGCCTCATCCGGGCTAGAAAGGAAATGTTGGGGAAGATATGGGAAATGTTGAGCAGGCAGTACACGGGTACAAGTGGCAGAATAGTTCCCTGTCTGTCCCTAAGTATAATTTTACTACTTTTCCTTTAAAAGTACTTTGGAGAATTCTTTGGAGATATGTTCTTAAGAGACCTCAGCAGGATCTGTTATTGAGCATTTTTGGTTTTCTCTTAGAAAATGGAAGCATGGGTGTTCCATTACATTGAAACACTAGCATAATTACTCCCAAGCCAAATGTCAGTGAGAAGAAGTGCCCTGTAAATGACACAGGATTTCCCTATTTGAATTTGTTTTGCCTATTTTGAAATTCTGTGTCTACTAATTCTACTGCTAACTGTAAACATCTAAGCTAATGAACACAAAAAGCAATACCTAAAGACATTTTTCTGAGGTCAATTTGTCTTTTCTGACTGGCTTTCAAATGAAATATCTTTTTCCTTCTCGCAAGAATTTGTCTGCTCTTTCTATAACTACTTACGTACCTAGCATGGTCTCCTGTGGACCTTCCTGTTTGGAGCCTAGCATGTAGTGTGAGGATGTCCTATGGCTGCGCAGTGTGGCTGGTCTTCCTTCCCACCTTCCGTGCCCTGCTCTGCATGCTTGGTGTTTTGGGTCACTGGTCTTTCAGACCCAAAGATTTTATTTCCCATTGCTGTTTCCAGGGTGCTGGCTCTGGATATGATGATTGGTGCTTTCTTTAATATGACATGAGCCACCAGATCACAGGGTTTTGGATACATTAGTAAACTCTGGGGATTGCTTTTTTAACTTCTGAAGGCCTTGTGAGGGGTGGGGATCCTGCTCCAGATAGCAGCAGGAGGTGGTTATGGTCTGGGACTGGAGAATACTGACATGCTTGCTCTTTCCCGCAGGATCCTACCCAGAGAGTCTACCCAGTGACGCTCCCACAGCAGCACAGGTAGATGGGGCTGACCTGGCCTCTCCAATGTCTCCTCGAACTAGCAAAAGCCGCATGTCCATGAAGCTGCGTCGGTCCTCTGGCTCAGCCAATAAATCCTAAGGAGACACACAGCCCAGCAGTGATCAGCAGTAGCCACCCTGGCACAAACATAGTTTAACTCTTTCAGGCCTCATGTTTGCCACAGCATTCATGTTTCTTCCTGTACATTTCTTTGAGAAAACACTGGACTTAAAGCAATTTGCAACTTCTTATTTTAAAATTGGACTATTTATTTAGTTCAGGTTTTTCCCACACTCCATGCTGTCATATTCTGAGGGGATCGAGTTTTAATTCATACTCTTGACCTTCCTAGATAATCATGTCTAATTAGTGCTACCTTCAAGTTCATGATTAATGTTGAGCCAAAATATAATTGGACAGATAGTCTTGTGTTATTTATTGTGCCTCATTACAACTTTATAATTTAATAAATACATAGTTTTTACAAATGTAACCTTTTTTGTAGTGCTGGGAATGGAAGCCAGCATCCCAAACATGCTAGGCAAGCACACTGTCCTTCACAGCCCAGCCCTACAATATAAATGACTATAGGCATTTATAAAGCTAGAGCAAAAGCTACACATGTTCGTTATGTAGGGTGTGGACAGATTGTTTGTTACAGACGGAAACTTTAATGGCCATGCAGCAGCTCAGATTCCAACTGAAATTACATTCATTAACTCTTTCCTCCCGTGGCAGTGTCTCATTTCTCGCCAGCGCAAATGCCGACACAACCTCTCAGATAACCAGGAAAATCACCACAGGACTTTGATTTCTTTAGCTCCCAAACAACTTCGTTCTGCTGTTTGAGGTGGTATCACTGTTGAATACCATTTCTGTTTGGAGGTCGTGGTCCTATATCACTGACCAGTTTATCCTGGTGTGTCTGTGTGCGCTCCAGAGTACCAAAAGAGAAGGTTGTGGAGAGGAGGGTGGAAGACTGTTCTCATATAAATGTTTGCTCAAATTATGTGTATTGTTTAAAAAGTAAGGGAACATAACCCAGGAGTCCAAGTTAAATCTAATATTTTAGTACTGAACTTGCAGCAGGTGCAGGTTGGTATGCATCCCACCTCCAGAAGTATTTCCTGTACTCAATAAGCTGCCCCCTTTTGTTTAACATGGGCATCTCCTAAGGAAATGTAGCATGATTGATACCAACTGCATGTGTAAATACATCATCCTGACAAACCACAGAATATAAATTATGTATCATTCATGTAGTGTCTACAGATTTGTAATGGGATAAAAAGATGACATGGTATTTAATAAAACAAAATAAAATATTCTTCACACTTCCTGTCCATGATTGTATTCTATTCATGTGTTTTTAGACTTAAAAGCAGCAGGGCTGTGTAATTGGAGATGTAACATGCCCCCTAGGGTAGCTTAGATACATGAAAAAATAAACACAAACGCCATTTTCAGAAGCAGCCCAGTGTGCTTCTCGGAGGTCCTCCCTCCGTCAGTTCCAGCACAGGAAGTCTACCGCTTCCTAAGTCTGCCAGAAACTCGACCAAAATCAACGTGTCTCTTTCATGACGTTTGACTTGTTACATTTCAGTGTTTTTTAGTATACTTTCAGGAATAAAATTTTTTACCAAATTTTTAGAGTTCCTGTACACCTTTTAAATTAGTACTCATAAATAAAACAATTAGATGAGTAGAAAAATCCTGTGGGAATGTGTTTAATGTAGTTTCCCACAGCCAACAGAAAGAATTTTTCAAAGAATAATCAAACTTCCTATATATTTCTATTGTATTGATAACAGGTAACAAGACAGACAGAAATGCTGATTTGAAATAGTGAAACTGATTAGCACCATTTATATAATTTCTGTAGCCCTGTTGAATAGACTTAAAACAAGCAAAAAAAAAAAAGTGTATTTTCTCCATGGAGCGGCAGTCTGCAGCTAGACTCTAAAGGAGGAAGTCCCACTGCATTTCAACACGATGGCATTCGTATTCTGTCAAAATAGGTCCCTAAGATCCTAAAGTTGAGTGTTGGTATTGAGGAAGTAAGAGATGTGCCTTGGAAAATACACTGTGTTCAACCACTTAAGACAAAATGAAACAGGCACAGTCTACATACATTTATTTGGTGGAAGCAGCTTACAAATCTATTGTTGGATAGTGCTCAGCCAGTATCCCAGACTCTGGCTATTGAGGGAATAGATACAGAATATACATTGAATATGATTTACAAAAAAATTCAAATGTTCCTGGAAAGAAAATATAGAAATATTGAGTGAGTTGATTGACATTCATTTCCATAGTGGGCTACAGGTGTTAACATCTTCCTTAAGTTGAACAGTTTACAATGCAGTGTGCAGCAGATTTACAGCAAATTGTAATAATTTGAATGAAATCTTTCTAAAACATTCAAATTTTAGGAATGAGTATAGTATTTAAAAACAAAAGGTTATGTAAAGAAAACCTTTAGCTCCTCCTGAATGCAGCACATAAAATAGGTAAAGAATGCAGAGGGCACACCAACTCCTTCGCGCACCTCCAAAACCTAATTTAGAAGAAGGGACGAATGCATTCAATTGAGGAAAGAAAGTTCCAGGGATATTTTCACACCGGACAGCAGCATCCTCTTATATTCCTGTCCATCTACAAGGGTCTAAGTTTTCCTTCCCTGCAAGTTTGGCATCAGTCACATAGCTTGATTCACAGAATATACAAGGCAAGAAATCTGACCCTATTGAGACAGAAACGACATGAGTGCCTGTGGTGGCGAGAGGAGAAATGGTCGATGACCACCACTTCAGGAAGAACCTTGTGTACACACTGAGACTTGCACGCGTTCACTGTGACTTTCCATAGGAACTACAAACCGTATAAGATTCATTGGGGTCTCCAGCGTTTTAAGGAAGGGGATGCCCTATTTTAGTGGGGAAATGAGGATTTAAAGCTGTCAGCTTTGATCATGAATTTTTATGCCAGATACATACCTGCTCTAGAGGGGGTTTTACATCTCGCTGCCTTCTCCCCGGGCGGATCATGACTAGGAGAGTTTTAAGAGGGAAGGCAAGGGAAGGAAAGAGGAAATTGCAAGATGGAAAAAGCCCCACAGGAGTTCCCATATTGTTTTCTCCAGCCATTCTGGAAATCTCGCCAGGCCTGGGTCCCTCAGCAGCCAGGCCTCAGTGGCATCTGCAGCAGCAGCACTTGCCGGCTTTCTGAGGGGTGACACTTATTGATGTGCCGGGTCAAGCCCGGGGAGCTAAAAAAAGTGGAAGGGCAGTACTTGCATGAGAAAATCTGCTGAGTGCTACCGTCGGATCCCCCTCCAGGGCCCGCTTCCGAAGGAGCCCCGACCAAGGCGGGCAGTAGCAGCTCCTCGCGGACAGCATGCCATAGCCGGTGCTTCTCTCGGATATCCGCGGACGGGAAGTGAGCCCCGCAAAGCGGGCACGCAAATGCAAGTGGGGCTGTACGCTCCGAGCCGAAACCCGGGACTGGTGCTCGCGCCGGGCCCGCCTCGTGAGTGCCCAGGTGCTTGCGCAGATAGGCTTGGCGACGGAACTTTTTGTGGCAATACGGGCACACGAAGACCTCGGATGTTGCCCCCGGGCTGGCACCGCCTGGCCCGAGACCGCGGCGCCCCAGCATCACCTCGGGGTAGGGAGCCTGCGGTCGTGCTGCCTCCGGGTGCACCAACGCCTGCAGGCCTGGGCGCGCGGCGCTGTCCAGGTGCTGACCGTCCGCGGAGCTGTCCCGGACCTGCGGGTGCTGATCGTCGGTCCGCGGCAGGCGGCCGTTCTCCTTGCCCGCCGCCAGGGAAGGGTCCGGAGGGGTCAACGGCGCGGAGGGAGGTTTACTCGCAGCGCAGGAAGGCGCGGGACGTGGCTTGTGCCAGCGGCGGTGGGAGGCGAGGTTCGCGGGGCAGCTGAAGACCTTGTCGCACTCGGGACAGCGGTACTCGACGCGCACGATGCGGGAGCAGCGGTGCTGAGCCAGCGCGAAGGGGTCCGCGTACTGCTGCTTGCACAGTTGGCAGATGAACTCCCCCAGCGGCGTGCGGACGCCGCCCAAAGCCCGCGCCGGCGCCCCGGGCTCCTCCTCCTTGATCTTTAGACCGAGCACCGGGGACGTGGTCACCTCGTCTGCAAAGCTCAGCCTCCTCACCGCCTTAGGCTTCCTGACGGCCGCGGGTGCTGACGCGCAGCCCAGGGCACCCTTGCCCCGGCGCTGGAGGCTGTGCGGGGCAGGGACGGGCGCCGGTGCGGGGACAGAGCTGGGGACGGCGACCCGAGACGGCACCAACTGCTCCCCCGAGGTCGCGGCCGCGGGCGCCGCGGAGCAGAAGGCTGTGGCGCTGGGGAAGGACTCGGCCGAGACTGGTGAGCGCAGGCAACGCTCCAGGAACGCGCGGCGCAGCTCGGGGCCCGCCGGCCTCGCGGGGCTGGGTCCCGGGCCGTTTCCGCCACCCGCGCCCCACTCGGCGCCGTCCAACGCGGGCTCGAAGCAAGGGGACCCCGACAGCCCCCGGCTGGGCTCCTCGGGGGAGGGCGGTGCAGCGCGGGGACCCGGCGGGGGGAAAAGCGGTTCGGCCGGGCGCGAGCGGTAGGAGCTGCCCGAGCGCTTGGTTCGCTTCACCAGAAAGCCCTTCGGCATGGTGGGTCGGGTGCGTGTGCGAGCCCCGGAGCTAGGTGGGCCGGGCCGGGCCGGGCACGCGGCGACCCGCTTTATAGCTGAGACGCTGGGCCGGGTCGGGCCGGGCCCCTCGAGCTGCGCCGGCCAATCAGAAGTGGGAGCGGATCCCGGGGCGGGGCCTTCGCCGGGCCGGGCCCCCGGGATCGGGACGCGGGAAGATGAGCGGGCGCGAGGGACTTGGAGCGCCCTGTCCTGCCTCCAGGGACCGCGCGCTGGGGACCCTGGGCGCCACCAGCCCGCCACGCGCCGGGAGCAGACCGAGCCCGCGCCTGGGCGTCGGGCTGAAAGACTACGCCGCCGCGGTAGGACAACGGAGGGACGACCGCCGCGACAGGGTGGGAATCCGTGCGGGAACGGGTTAATGTCCTCTGCCAGGACTGAGCTGATGAGAAGCAGCGAACAAACTGCAGGGCGGCTCAATCCGCCGTCCTGTGCCTACACTTGACGGCGAGAGCACGTCTGCCATCCAGTATCGATCCGGACTGCGCGCGTCTGTGATACTATGAGAATTCATCTGGAGAGAAGGGCTCTCGGCGGCGCCGCAGATCGTGCGTGCTGGCAAACCTCTGGAGCTCAGGACGCTGCACGGTTCGGGCATCGAGCTCTTGGCTGATAAGTGTCTCCTCCCCTGGGGGAACAGGAGTGGGGAGGGGAAGGGATCTAATTTTCGGCTGTCCTCACATAAAGTGGTTTTTCTCTGTTCGCACTTTCCACTTAAGCTACCCAGAGACATGACTTAATGCCTAGCTGGCCTGTTTAGTTAGCATGGAGGAGATTGAGTGAGAAATGCTGGTAGAATCGACCTCGCATCTGCTTCCCTGTACATGACTAAGGGACGCTGCAAGGGATGTGTGGTAGACCCAACTCAACAGATTGTCGTCTGGCCCCCTGCCACCAGTCCTGCACTTCGCTGTTGTTGTTAAGAAACAGAAGAGATTTTAAAGTTTGTAATACTAAGTGAACAGTGAAATAATTAGCCAGTATTCGGCAGAGGGACCGTGCCAGCCTTTAATAACAAAAACCTGGGCAGTGTGAGAAGAGGAAGGGCAAATAACTGTGCTCAAGACTGCTCGCAAAAAAATAATAAAATAAAAATAAAAATCTGGAATGTAGACTAAGGGCCCCACTATCAGTGAAGTGATTTTACATGGAGGACACTATTTAAGGAAAGGGGCACAAATATCTCTTCGACTCTGATTATGTATCAGATTATGCTAAGAGAGAGAGAGAACTCTTTACACACTAGGTAGATTAAATTAGAATGTAGATGACTAGCAAGAATCACACAGGACAAATTCAAACCAAAGCCTGGCAGATTCCAATGCCTAGATTCTTTCTATTACACCAGTAACTTCAAACTACTTCTTTAACTGTCTCTCACTATGAGCAGTAAGTCTTAAAGTACACACACACACCTGAAAACAAGTTTCGAAAAATAATACTTAACAACACACTAGATTCTCAGGTTTTCTGGCCAGTCCCATTGTGTTTTAAGGACTGGATTAAGACCAGAAGTTATGGTGCTTCTCATTAAATAGCGTGGAGTCGTGTACAATATTTTGCTATCAAAACTCATATCTGAATCACTAAAATGCCGTGGTCCTTAGTAGCTTGATAAGCTCAGTTTCCCAAGCTGATCGTT